AGGCCCCCAAATTTAAATATTTTTTTTTATTTGTTGGCCGGGGGGGTTTTAATTTAAAAAAGTGTTTTTTTTTTTTTTTGGGCCCCCTTCAAAAACAGAAACTTTTCCCCCCCCTCATTTTTCCCCCCCTTTCCCTTTAACCCCCCCCCCCCCCCTTTTTTCCTTTTTTTCCCCCCCCCCCCCCCCCCCCACCCTTTTGTTCACCGAATACTTAGAGGTGCTGCACTGGACGTTTTCACGACGGAGCCCCTGCCGACAGACAGCCCCCTTTGGGGCCTGGAAAATGTGCTGCTGAGTCCCCACAACGCTGACCTGGCAGCCCACTACCTGAGCGACAGCGTCCGCAAGTTCGCGGAAAACGTCGACAACTTTGTCAAGGGCGACGACATGTCGATCCACGTTGTTAACAAGAAAGCCGGGTACTGATGACCGTCTTGTCTATGTAACGCGACTACTCCGGGCTTGGCTGATGTTGTCGTAGTGACTGGCTTACTTAACGGGCCGGCTGCGGCCGCCTCCATCTTTGTGTGTTGTCGTCGTGTTCATCCATACTCACTCACTCATGGTTCCAAAACCAGCCCCAAGGCCGATGTCGAATTCGCAAACTTCTTTGACGGGAAGACCGACGGAGGGACAGAGAGATAGAGAGAGAGAGGCCTCTCCTGCACTCCACTCATTTTTTTGGTACATGCGCAAGGATTTGCGAATTGAATCGGAGTGGGGGGATCAACAAGAATGGGGGGTGGGAGATAGATGTGTTGCACCGACCAATGGTCTCCGATGATCTGATGTCGAGCCCGTTGTACTTCCAAGGATCGCCAGCATTGTGTTTGTTTTCGGTTCCTCGTAGACATTGACCGGTAAGTGTACAACATAATTTGTGTTATTATTGGTTCCATGTTGTATCATCTCTTGATGTTTGTGTCAGTCAGACTGACAGGTGGTCTTTGGTACAACAGCTGATTTTTGTTTTTGTACAATGGATGGATGGAGTGCTTCGGTTCAATACTTTCCTCTGGGGAACATAGGGTGGAACGGCGTGGATGGGTGGGGGTAGGGGGGGTACCCGAGCTCGGCTCATCAATACAGAAGAATACGCCATTTCCGCAACCCTCGTTCCTCGGTTGATCAATGTGGGGAAACCAACAGGGAATCATTTGCTTTTATTTTATTAATTCGTAAGGGGGGTGGTGAAGCGTGCTGTGCGACGAATGATCGATTTCTCCCCTTCCTGACTACCATTCCAAGCTCCAAGCGCTGTCATCTTCCGATGGATGCCGACACGTGCTACACCGTTTCTCCGCGTAGATGCGATCCGCAGTCGTCAGATGTGATCCGCGGTCGTTTCTGTATCGGGAGATAACGTACGAAAATCCGTTCACACGCGTAAAACACGTAAAACACGCACACGTATCTGCCGTTGGTAACGATTCTACACTCACCAGTAAGGGCCGCGTGAAGGCCACACACACACACAAGGAGACTTCTGTCTGCCTTGCCGCATAATAAATGAAGGGGGATGGATGTCGCTGCAATTTGCTGCACATGCAGCAGACAAACAAGCATTATTATTTGGATGGAGCGACCGGTCGGATGCCGTACAAGTGAACGCCAACCAAAGTCTCCGCCATCTACGTAGATGTGCTTGGTATCTCAGTAGCTTGGAAGAAGGTGGTGATTCGTTGTAAGACTCGTGGGGCATCCAAGAAGAAAAGTCAGTAACTTCCTGGCTTGGTCGTGACTTTTGAGGGTCTCAAGGAATGAACCCCTTGACACAAAACAAAAGCAGCAGTGGTCGGTGCGAAGAACGCGCAATACAATCGACATGGCGTCCTCATGCAGCAAGAGCCCCAGACAGAGAAAAGGGATAGGGAGAGAGTCAAATCTAAGATGGGGGGCGACAACATCAACGCCATCCTCCATGGAGGCCAAGATGTAGGTCGCAACAAATTGAAAAGTTATGCCGCAAACAAACGGCAACCAACAGCAGCCAGTGCTGCAGGCCCACTTCAACCTCTACGACCAGACATGGAACCAAACGTCTTGACCCCTCCACAGGGCAGGAACAAAAATGAAACAGGGGCCACACCTTATGGACAAGAGCCGGGAGAAAGTCTTTGCCCAATACATCCCGAAATGTTCCCCTCTTACCTCTCGCCCCCCCACCCCCCCCGCGCGCGCGCGCCACGCTCTAAATACTCCCGTCACATGTCATACAGATCCCAACCCGTTTCAACACGATTTTGTACCATCACTCACTACATCCGCCCTCCGAGAATTCACGTGCACTGCTACTAACTTCTCTGCACAAACACAAGCAGCCCCGTGCGTGCCTTGCGAACGTTCTCTGCCCCCCTCACAAAGGGAGGCTTCTATGAAGAGGCCCTTGATCCTCCACCCGGCAGCGCGCCGGGGGCGGGGAACGCAAAACAAGGAGAGCAACACCATCCCTCGACCGAAAACCGTGGCTGCATTGCTTTGGTCCTTTTCGCCCCGTTCCCGTGTAAGAGCTAAATCGCCACACCACAACCCGCAACCTCCGAAAAAATTGCATTTTTTTTTTGTTCACCTCCGTGCCGAGCACCCGCACGGGAACAAGAGAGAGAAGAAAAAAGCAAATGAGACGAGAGACGATTGAAAGAACAGAACCAGCAAACCAAAGCTAGGATAAAAAAGGGGGACCAGCCCATCGACATCGCAACCAGCAGGCATGCCATGACAACGCACGCAAACACCAGCACTCCCGACAGCCAAGCACCACCAACCACTTCACGGAGCAGCAGCAGCAGAGCAGCAGCAGCAGCAGCAGCACGAAAGCACCATCACGAGAGTATCGAAACGCTGTTCACGTTCTTCCGCTGCTTGCGTCGATGGCGTACGCGCCACAACAACGTATGATGACCGCATGAGAAAACTGGTCCGGTACCATCAATAAATCAAAATCAATCATGCAAACAACCCCGGGACTCCCCTCCGCAAAATCTGTACCCTTCCTACCCTGCCCCCGCGCTCGTGCTCGAAACCGCCTCCCCTCCCTGCACTGGTACACTCGCCGCCCACCTGCGACTACTCTCACCCTCGGAAAACAAGCCACTGCCACCATGGCGTGGGTGGACAAGGGAGGGGATTCACGGGGACCAACTCTCTCTCAGCCCCCTAAAAAATGTCACAGAAAAAAACAGCAATCCCCTCTCCCTCCATTTCTTTGTTTCCCTCCCGCCGCAGACGCTTCAGTATCCCGCTGAGCGCAGGTACTCTGCCAGGTCTTCCACGGCCTGTAGCAGTATGGTGGCATATGGTGTCATCGATGCGATCCGATTTGTTTCGACGGCGTCGAGTGAGATCACACAAAGAGGGGCGCCAAGGAGCGAGGGGGAAGGGGAGCGCGCAGGCGGGTGAGTGGTGGGTACATGCAACAAGTGCCTCTTCCGTTTGGCGATCTTAGGAAACGCATACACATGCATACGATGCTACAAGCTGATGAGAGCAGGACAAAAAACCCAGAAAACCATCGGCGAGAAAAAAGACGCAAAAGAGTGGCGGGGGGTGACTGGCTGGATGCGAGGGCGACAAAAACATAATACAAATTCCGGCGTTTGGGCTGTGGGCTGCCTATCTGGGGGCCCTTGAAACAAGGGTGCGTCCACCTCCAAGTTCCCCACGATACCCCTACTTTTTTCCATGCCCGTAGGCCTTTCCTTTTCGTTGAGGTTTACCCCCCCCCCCCCCGTCCCCGGTGTTTGCCATCGGGGTTTGGGTTTTCGTCGCTTGGCAACGACGTTGTAAAACAAGCCCCCCACTCGGTGTTTGCCATCGGGATTGGGTTTTCGTCGCTTGGCAACGACGTTGTAAAACAAGCCAATTCACTTCGTGAACTCGGCAACCAGGTTACCGTTTTTTTTTTTTTTTACCTCGTTTTTTTTTTTTTGGCGGTAACCATAATGGTGGTCGAGTAGATCATGTTGTGCGGGGTCGAGAAACCTCACTCCGCGCAACGGGGGATGATCGCACCACGTTGTGTTAAAATGGTCAAGCTTCCTCGAGGCAGTTACACAGTGCTTACAACTGTCTCTGGAAGTGAAAGCACCAGAAAATAAATTAAGTCATACGTAGCTGTCATCCGTACGCAAGGAAGTAAGCACAAGATGCCGAACACCCGTAGCAGGATGCAGCTCACCCTTCATGCGACTCGCCAAATACCTCACGGCGCTTCGCGCTTGGTGATGTGAGAGCCTGGTCCGGTGAGAACCCGGCGTGCTCCGTCCCGGCTTTGTAGGGATGCGAGGTCAATGGTCAAACGACTACGGCATGCACGACTATGAGTACACCCCCCTCCCCCCCCGCCACCTTCCCCGACTCCTTCATCACGCATCCTTGTATTTGTTCATTCTAAGCAGCGTTTCTCCGCTCTGCGCACGTGTAAATGGGTTTATTTTCTCTCGAGATATTAGTCTTTGGTGTTTTCTTTGTTCCTTGACGTCAAGATGTCGGCTTTGTGTCATCAAGACTCGCGTCCTAATTCCAGCCCCAAGACTCTCGCTTCACGTCCGTCTGCAATCTTGCAAAATACTACACGTCCACGCTCGTGCTTTTGGCACTATCCATGGCTCGCGCTCGATAACTCAACGCCTGCCCTATGCATAATGGTAGTTTTGAGACACATCGGCTAAATCGGCGATTATGCACACACATTTCACAAAACATGTTCAAACCTAACGAAGGGCCCACGGCTGGGACAACAAAAACATGCGCAACGCCCACACACCACCGTAAAACGTAGTGCCACTTCATAGGCACCAGCAACCCACCAGCAACAGTAGCAGCTACAACCCAAAATAGCCGCCCCGGCCAATCTGTCGGGCTTCTCTGCTGAAAAAAACACAAAGATCGCGATGATCTCACGCCGCTCACCTTGTTGCAGGCGAGAGCGCCGGCGGTGGAGGAAGGGTGGTGCTCCTTGCAAGCCTCGTCGTCGAACACGCCCACGATCACGAGCGTGTTGGTGCACGCGAAGCACGCGCTGCCCTTGGTCTGCCGTCGCCATGTCCAACAACATCGTTTTTTTGTTCGAAAAGAAGGTAAGAATCGCCATTTCGATCATATTGCGTCATCACGTCGTCCGCCCCGCCGAAGGATAACGTTTCGGGCATGCGGGGGGGGTTCAACGATGGAGTGATTATGGGCGCGACTATCCGTGGAGGGTGTCACAGGAAGGGAGGGGATGGTGGGAGCTAGAACGAGGGACGGCGGGGGCAAACCAGTATCAGCATCACCAAGATTCACGTTGTTGTGCTCGGCATTACGTTTGTCTCCAGCATGTTTCAGGTCTGTCAGTGCCGTACCTCGTTCGCGTCGGCCCAACAAATAAGTTCAAATCTTCCAAGGGTTTCGATGCGCGAGCGCGCGGGGAGGGGTAGCGACAGAACCCATCGGGGCTGCGAGAAGCGTCGGCCTACCGAAGGCCATACTCAACAAAATAGCTCTCGTCGACGTCTTCCCAGAGACTACTAGATAGAATACTGCCAAGTAAATTCTAGGAACTTCGAAAAACGGGTGAAGTGCACGTCCTCCTTAGGAGTGTAAAAGTACCCGCGTTCTTCCTTTTTTTTTCTTCTCTCCGAGTCATCCCGAACAGCATCTATCCTTGGCCTGCATCAACCGAACCGAGGGAAAACCAACCGGACGTACCAAAAAGCAGCCAACACATGCCTTTACCTTAAGAAAGCACCACAACAACAAAAAGTACATGGTACCGGCCTTGTTGGATTTCTGATGAACCGGGTCTCCCACCTACTGTGTGGCCAAAAAGCACAAAAAACGTGTGAAAAAAAAACAGAAAACAACCACCCCACGTTCTAACACAGCAGCATGAAAAACGGCCAACACTCACCCTCTTGAGGTAGAGGACCGGGCCTTCCAGCTCACGCAAGACCACGTACTTGGTCCCGTTCATCCTCCAACCGGTGGCCGCCTTGGTCCCGCTCGTCACGAACCCTGCACACGAGTTCCAGTTTGTATTGAAAGGGGGGGGGGGGGGGGGGGGGGGGGGGGG